CCTAGCGAGCAGCATTTCGCAAGTGGTTTTTCTGTTTTCCTGCTGTCTTTCATTCAGTTCATGTGGAACCCATTTTCCCATCTTCTGGATCTTTCCGATGGATTTCAAACGTATGGAGACGGCTTCTCGTGTCGCATTCAATTGATCCGCGAGTTGTTGAGTTTGAGCGTCATCCTCATCCAACAATGCTTGCAATTCGCTGTCTTCAAACTTTTTCGGTGGTTTTCCACGTTCTTCGTTTCTCACGTCAAAATCGCCACTTTTGAATTTTTTAAACCACTCAAAGCACTGTGATTTACCAAGAGCATGCTCACCGTAAGCTTCGATAAGCATTCGATGCGATTCTGCAGCAGTTTTCTTCAAATGGTAACAGAAAATCAATGCTGTCCGCAAATCGTAGTTTCCAGGCACAAAATTCGACATGTTCAACGCTATTACAAACTATACTGTTGTATAAAACTTGTATTGTTGTGAATTGAAAATTTTTGTCACATGTCAGAACAAGGAAATGGCGTCAATGACGCGGTCTGATGGCAACTATATTGACAGCTATGGCCATCTATTGGTAAATTCCGGTTTCATATTTACATACCTGGTATGTAGGACGATTGTAATTATTATTTATTACTTCATACACATATTTACCATTCTTATTCCTTAATAAAACTTTATGAACACATTTTATAAGTTATTGTGTCATTATACGTCTTATTTATTTGCATTATTTGTAAATTTTTCATGAGCCATACGTACCCCCCTCCCTCTATGAGTAGCCATATATCCCACCCCTATGGGATTACGGCAAAAATGTAAGGGTTTCAAAAAGTTTATTTTTTAATATGAAAAATAAATATGTCGGATTTCTAATATTTTTTTCATAGTAGTAGACAGTACAAAGTTTTTACTGGTATAGTTCATTTACTATAAACATAGTAAATAATACTTAATAAATTAAGTTTTTGATAAGTGCGGCGTATACACTGGAGTTACCCTATGTAATTATATGTGGGATATAATTATATGTGGCACCATATACGTATAATCATATAAGGAACATAAAATGTTCCAAGACGGTAAATTATCTGGAAAACTAAGTTTTATAAACAAAATATTTTAGATGAAAGTTGTAGAGTTTAAAAAGGCTTAGCCGCTGGCTTCATCAGTTTGACTTTGGGTGGCGTCGCCAAGGTAGAACAAAGTCAACTTGAATTTTTTAAGTGAAACCTCGCACTTTTTCTTTCTTTTTCTTATAATCCTTGCTCAGACCTTTTCAGAACATTATAATTTTATCCATTTTAGGTCAGCTGTTTAGAAGTTGTTAAGTATTTTATAGTAAGATGTCAACGACTGTAGGTGAATCGAATACGAAAACTGTTCATTTTTTTACGCTAAAACTTTTACGTTTTGTTTAGCAGGGTACCTATCATGAAATATGTCGGAATGGATTCCGATCGGAATTATTCCATTTTCCCTAGAAAATACAATAGAAATCTAGGGAATAATTGAATATTTCCGATCGAAATCGATTCCGACTTGTTCTATGATAGGTACCCTGATCGTAAGCTATAACACATGAGAAAACTATTTGATTTCACCGGGACCCAATTTCATATAGGATTAGTGCGGGGTCCTTTATTAAGATTAGAAATAGGACTGCTCATATGAGTACATTAACTAAAGTTTTATTAATGTTTTTTTTATTTCTGTACTAGACTGCACTAGAATTCTCTTTCTCGCTTTCATGAAAATTAAACATATCGATCTCACTTTAAGGCTTCTGACTACTCAGCCAAGAATTCTGCGATGACGGTGGCGACACAGCATCAGACGGCGGTCTGGCGAAATCGGTAGCCACACACTTAAACACGAGCCCATGTCCGTGTGCTCGTGCTTGCATGTGTGTTACAGCGCCGCACCACGATAAATGGCCGAACTTATAGGCGTGGAAAAATGACATTTTGACCAGTTTTGACAACGAAATTTGTGCACGACATTTCGTTATTATTTGCTTAAATGAAATGTGACTTGTTTCATATTTCTCAAAGTCAATTTTCGATGAAAACTAAAGTTATCTTGGAATTTTATACATAAAAGTGTATATTTAACTCGTTTCAACAGCTGTTAAACCGTGTGTTTCTGCCAGAATATAGGCTCACTTTACAAGTCTTTTACGACCATTTAGGTCTATCTGACTATCAAGGGAGGAAAGGACAGTTTTCATCGATTTTTACAAATGTTTTAAAGCGATCTCGTCATTTCGTTTTATCCAAATTGCCTTTATTTACAAATGACATCGTGCATAAATTAACGTGTCATTTCTCGCTTCTGACGTCACGATTCCAACATGGCCGCCGCGA